ATTGCTTCTCAGCTGAGTAATCACCTTCCATGTGGGCCCAGATGGACAGCACATTTCCAGGTAGAGCAAGGCCAAGTGGCTACCATAGAACAAAGCCGAGGCCAAGTTCTTCACTTCCTGTTCATACATCTGTATCCCTGTTACCAAGTACATTTCTTATGTATGGGTAGGTAAGCAACCTGATTAAAGATACATAAAGGTACAAAATATATTGTTAAAAAAAAGAATTAAAGCAACATTAAAAGGATCATAACACTAAAATGTGTTAAATAAGCATTTATAAATGAGAAGCAATTTGTTTATTAATGGATTTGTTTGTTTGGCAATGACTCAAATGCTGTCATTTGCCTTCTCTGTTCATTAAGTGAGGAAGGTGTGCTGTAAAATCAGCCCCTTCCTCTGGGTAACTTACTTCCCACAGTGGGGGAAGACAGAGAATAACAAAAGCAATCTCACCACTAAGCCAGCAAATGCATAGTGAGCCAGGAAAGACTATGGGGATAAATGGTATCCTGCCCAGAGTGGTCTCCTAGGGAGACAGTTGAGGAGAGACCTAAAGGAAATGACAAAGCCTGGGCAGAAGATTCCTTAGGGAAAGCTGTTCCATACAGAGGCTAGGAGAGATGCAAACGTCCCGCCCAAGTCAGAGACTTAGTTGTATTCACAGTGACCAAAGTGGTTAGCACAGTCTTTGAGTGGTGAATGGTAGGAGGTGAGACCAGGAGCAGCTTTTAGGAAGATGGGAGACACAGCAAATCAGATAGAACACTATAATGATATCGGTTTCAATGCCTGAGTGAAATGCAAAGTCAGAGCATTCTCAATAGAGAAGAGGCATTGGGTGGTCCCTTGAAATGCTTTCCCTTATGTTTTTTTTGGTGTAATAATAGTATTATTATCATGCATCTTCAATAGGAACCATATATCACACTTAGAGTTCTGCCTTTCTTCCTGTTCTCATGATGTCTGGCAGGGCAGCAAGCTGTGTCTCTTGGTCAGCCATGTGATCCAGAGAGAAACATGTGACACTAGCAGGAGGCTGTGCTGTTCTCTATGGGGTGGGACCCTGAAGCGCTCTGTGCTGTACTCTGTGGGGTCAGTAGCTGGAGTTTATTCTATGCATTTTTCTTTGCTTTCCTTTTATTTGTGTGTGTGTGTGTGTGTGTTTGTGTGTGTGTGTGTGTGTGTGTTCATAGTGTATGCATGTGGTATATACACATATGTGTGCCCACACAGAGTCCAGAATAAGACATTGAATGTTCTGCTATATTATATTTGCCTTATTCCCTTAATAATAAGTCTTTCTCTAAGTCTGAATTTTTCCTGAATCTATTGCCCCCCTACACCCTCACATCAGGGGTGTGACAAGCACATGTGATCATGCCCAACATTTTATATAGGAGCTGGGTACTCAGGTACTCAAGCTTGCACTATAAACACATTTGCACAATGAGTAATCTCTCCAATCCTCAGTGCAGTGTGTGTGTGTGTGTCTATGCCCACCCTGCACACATGATTCCCACACATAAATTTATGTGACCATGAATGCCCATGAAAAGGCCAGAGAAGGACATCAGGTATCTTCTACCATTCTCCACCTTAATGACTCTAGACCAGTGGTTTTCAACCTGTGGGTCTCGGCCCCATTGGGGTTGTCATATCAGATATCCTACATATCAGATACTTACATTATGATTCATAACCATAGCAAAATTAGTTAGGAAGTAGCAACAAAATAATTTTATGGCTGGGAGTCAACACAACATGAGGAACTGAGTTTCAGCATTAGGAAGGGTGAGAACCACTGTTCTAGATCGCTGAACCAGAAAATCACTGCTTCAAGTAGAGATATTCACTCACCTGTCTCTGCTCCCAGTGCTGGGATTACAGGCATGTTCAGCCATGTCTGGATCTTTATGTATGGCTGGGGATTCAAACTCGGGTCCTCATGCCTTTAGAGCAAACACACTGAACTGTCTCTTCAGTCCGCTAAAGCAGTTTTTACTCATGCTGGGCTTACATGTGTTTATACTTATTACTTATTTACTTGTGCCAAGCTTATGGGAATATAGGCCTATTCCAGTTAGTGAACATCTGGACTGTAATCTGTTTTTCACCTGGCAACAAGGAGGGCAAAGACACAAGCTCTCAGAGAAGTGGAGAGATGCAAGCAGGGTCCCATCCAGGATGGAAGCACTGAGAAGCAATTGAAGTCCTTATAAGCTGAAAGTGAAACAAATTGAGTTATTAGATAAGCACTTTTAAAGACAGAAACAACGATAACTTCAAAGCGCTACCTGGGAACCATAAAAGTAGCATGCATTCCAATGGATTGGGGTGGAGAATACCACAAGAGAAATAGATTTGGAATAAAAATGAGAAGTTTGACCTTGGAAAAACATCAGGCTAGCATCCTGGGCTTTTCAAATCAGAATCATTAGCTACTTGCAGGTAAAGTTTCATTTCAATGAATTAGCATTAAATTATTCAATTCAATTGCACTCACATTTCTGTTTTTATTAATTTTTATTTAAATTAAAAACAATCTTATTTTACAAACCAATTCCAGTTCCCTCTCTCTCCCATTCTCCCATACCCCCAGCAACCTCCCATCCCATCCTCCATCCACAATTGCACTCTTCATTTCAAGTATGTGCTATCTACCCACATGCGGTTAGCGCCTGCCATCGTGAAAAGACAAGACAACAGAGAGCGTTTCTGCCGTTACCCTCATAGAACATTCTGTTGGGCAACACAGGTGGGGCCTTAAACCTTTACCATTATCCTAGACCCTGAGCTGGTTGCTGTATACACAGTGTGTCTTAATATTTAAGAATGTGCCAAGAGTCAGGCAGGGTTTATTCCTTTGATGCAGAGTGTAACAAGGATTCATTGGCATTAAGTAATCTGTCTTAAGTCACAAGATTGCTAAGGGGGAATGAAAAGGGCTGCATTCCAGGACCATCTGCCTTTGAAGTCCAAGCATTTACATCAGCAAGCTGTAGTTAGAAATGCTCGACTAGTGTGGAGTGAGACATCGCTTACACAATTACTGTCAATGAAACATCAAGGTAGCAAAGAAACCAGATTTGATGGGCCTGGGGTAAAAGCACATCTCCCAAGAGATTCCACGTGTAGTGGTACTAAACCTAGTACATTGCAAATCCAATCATTTAAAAGGAAGCAACAACCACCGATGAGGCACCTGGTTTTCAGTTTCCTGGTTGATGGAGAAGCAGAATTGGGGTGCCATACAGTTAAGATATATTTGGTCTCCCCGTGATCTTCAGCTTGGTATATGAAACCTTAGTGAGCATTTTAAAACATATGGAGCACTTAGGACACATTGGTAGGTTCCTTGGGCATTTTGTAGATGTAACCTTGAGCTGCTAAGAGTCCTACGATACTTGCCACAATCTAAAACAAAGTCCCCTCATCCAAAATGCTAGCTGTCCTGCCATGTAAGAAGTATTGGCCTGGGGTAATACTACAGATGTGAACATCAGTACAGGTGCTAAAACATGGCAGTTGGTAGCAGTCTGTGTGAGATGAACCCAATCCTGATCATTCTGACTTGCACTCTCTTGTAAAGCGAGGGAACATGGCCTGGGCTCTGTACCTCTACTTGTTCATCTGTAACACTGAAATCCAATTCACACACCTCAGTCAAGCTGCTTCTGAGGATCACAAACACATTAAGTACTTAGCCCAGTGTTTGGGTCAGAGAGAATGACAAATGACCACAGAAAACAGAAAGGGGGCAGGGATGGAGGCCCCCAAAGAGACGATTAAGCCATGCAAAGAATTGTCCAATCAAAAACAAATGCATACGAGCTGGGTGTGGTGGCACACTGCAATCCCAGTGTTCAGGATGAGGCAGAATTGCAGGCTCCCCAGTGAGATCCTATCTCACCCATGCCAAGAAAAATCATTGAGATAAACTACTTTTCATACCAAGGTTTTGAAATCCTGTTATGGGCAGCTCAACTCAGACTTGCTACATACAGTTCTAGTGCCTACTCGGCACCTGTGGCTCATAGCTACACTCTGGCCAGCATGTCTCTTTTTTGAGACAGATTCTGTATGTAGCCCAGGCTAATATGAAACTCATGGTCCAGCTGCTTAAGCACTGGCATTACAGTCTGACTAGGTAACTCTGAGACACATGTCCATGGAAGGTAGTCACAGAAAAGTCTTGAGTTCCCTTAGGGACTTTAGACTCAGTCAGCACATGCCAGGAAGAGGCTGTGCTGAGAAATGACCAAATACATTAAGTAGACATGGCAAAGTGAGTTTTGCAACCCAGCTCTACTTCCTGTGTCCTTGAACAAATTAGCTAGTCAAACACCCATTCCCTTATTTGCAGAATACAGATAACAGTGCCAGCCCCTCTGATGTTGTTCTAGGGAATGTGTACACAAAGATCTGTACCTATAACCTATTTCTCAAACATGGATTGTGGGTATTTGTATTTGAGACTGAGAAATGCAAGAGAGCTTCTTTAAAACGCAAATCTTAAAAAAAAAATAAAACTCAAATCTTCACAGGATACATCATGTACTTCAGAATAGAAATGCAGACAGAAGGACCTGAGAGCTGTAGGGCTTTTTTTTTTTTTTTTTTTTTTTATAACTTTTGATCATGAGCATATCATATTCTAAAGCTGGGCATGTCTTTGCATTTGTCCAGTGTTCAGATTTTCTCAACCCAGAAATGTTCTCAGTAGCTTTAAAAAGGATGAGCTTGGATCTTCCTTTATAAGGTTTATAAAGCTATCTTTCAATAAGAATAGTCTCAATTTGTTGAGTTGACACAAAGTGCAAACAGTACAGAACAAGCTCAAATGATTGGGCATGTATTCACTGCAAAAGTAGCTGGTCAAGCCTACAAATTGCTAGGATATATTAGCCATGAGGGACCCAGAATACCTCAAAGCTTTTCAATTCCTAACTATTACAATGTATCACCAATTTCCACTACCTTGAAGAACACACACATCATGAATTAGCACAAACACGTTTATTTAGTAACCAAAGGAACTAATCATAGGTAAATCAACACTTTGACATGGGTTTCATGTAAAGTGTTGGTGATAAAGATAACTGAAAAACAGTCATGAAAAATAAAACTGAAGAAAAGAAGGTCTGTGGATATTTATGATCTGCTCATTGAACTGAGCGGATTCACTCTCACAGCTTCTTGTCCAGGGTCTCGACAAAATCCTCACTCCACCTTTTCATAGACCCGAGTACAGGTCACGTTGTTCATGACACAATCCTAGGAAGAAAGATACAAAGTCAGGCTGGTTGTACATACCAGAACACGGATGACAATGACACCTTACAGCCAGATTCCTGTAACATCTTGTCACATCGGCAGATGGAGAAAATGTATTTTAGGATTTCTAGACTTGAGAAGAGCTGGGACCTGCTGTTTTGTTTACATGCACATTTGCTATCCTGAAGACTAAAGCACTGAATATGATCTCTAAATTACTCATTTGGCTTTGGCAAATATCCCTTACTTTAAATAAATGGGAAATATATGAGGCTGCCTGGTAGCCTGCCAAGCTCTCAGTGGTGCAGCAGGAAGAAACTGTTCTAGCCACACTCTGGGAATCACATCACTTCTCTGTCCACCCAAGGACTGCCTTAGTTAACGATTGCTCCCAGCTTTAATTTGTTATTTTGAATATTTTCTTCCTAAATCTCCTTCCCTCGTTAAAAACCATCACAAAGAAGAGTTATAGCGACGGTGACTGCAAGCCCAAAACCCAGTGCGACACAAGCCATCTGGCACTTACCACCACTAGCTTCCCATCCTTAACTCTTCTTGTTATTGTGCTTTCCTTCCCATCCCAGTTCTGGTGCTGAACCAGGGCGCCATCAGTGAAGGTGCAGACCGTCTGCAGAGACACAGGGTATTCGTTAATCTTCCAAAGCAAAAGATTTCCCATGACCCTCAGCCACCCCACCATGTCTTCATCTTTTCCTTTGTGGGTCTACTTCATCCATCATACTGATTTTATTCACAATATAACTATGTGCTTTTCTATCTAGAACTCCTAAGATGTTTCCACTTTACAGTCCTGGGACTTTTACTAACTTATCAAAATTCAACTTGATAAAATAATTTTTATACTAATACGTTCTTGGCAACAAGTAAAGATGTTATCAATGCAAGCTAACCTGTCATTCTAGAAGCTTCACTCATTTCATAGTATGTAATAGCTGACCTGAGTTTTTCTGCCATCGGCTGTAGTTTCATCAAACTTCTCCCCCAGGGTACAAGAAAACTGCGTCGTCTTCAAAGTGCTCTCAGTTTTAATGGTGATATTGTTGCCGTCACAAGTAATGATGCAGTCTGGTTTGGCCATAGCACCCATTTTCCTAAGAGCCAGTCCTACTCCTGTGCAACGGGAAGTAACATAAGAACCAGTTACAATTTACACAACAGAAGCAATGACTTAGTTGTGATCATTTCTTCTGCCTGGCCTATTCTTATGAACTCACTGACATGTACACATCCAGCATGTTGCAACACAACGCATGTAAGCCTCCTGGTCATCCTGAGCTTGGGGGTGGGGTGGCGATGTCTCCATTGGACTCAGGAGAGCTGGGCAAGCACCTTTAGCCAGAAGTGACAGAACTGGAGGCAGACAGTGCTGACATGACTCTAAAGCTCTGCTATTAGCCACTGAGCTGTGCATCCTCAGAAAGTCATGCAAGACTTTTTACTCCTTAACCTTAACTAAAACAGCTAGCTGACAGAGGCCCAGGCATGGTGACACACACATGTAATTCCAGCACGTAGGAAATGGCGGCAGGAGGATAGAGAGTTCGAGGTCAGTCTAAGCAGCATAGAGACATTGCCCAAAAACAAAACGAAATTAAGAAGCAGTTAGGAGATGGTGAAAATAAAATATTTAAAGTTGCAAACTTAGATCATAGTTCAGCCCTTCTACACAGCAGTTCCTGGCAACTACTGTATTCTCCAGCTAGCACACAGGTCCCTGGTAAACAGTTAACAGAACAGACTACACAGAAAAGAAAAAAAAAAAATCAGCCCTGAGGGATTCAAATAGTACAGTTTGGAACACAGCTGTGATGTTAATAAGTGTGTGTATGTGGGGGGTGGGGGCAGCCTGGGAAAGAGCAAACATTTCAAAGCTGTGTAACAATGTATTTTCCATGGTAAGGTTCTACCTGTGTATTAGAACCTGCCAGTGCTGTCTAAAAACATGTACTATTTGTCTATCTGGTTGATTTTTATTTCATGTAGTCTGTTTATTTACAGTAGTTACACGGGTATGAAATTCCACATTACTAAGTTATGCATTAGCTTGTAATCTATGTACTTGTCCTTGGTGACAACATTCATAAAAAACCTGGGATATTTTCACAAGAGAGGAGATGATGACCCAAGTAGAATGACTTATCCCGATGCTCAGCCAGGCATCTGTGTTCCCGGAGCCTTCCGGGGTGCTTCCCTTCCCCAGGGTCTATGGGTCAAGCCTGATATGGTTCCTAACTCCAGAATCCCAGAACCAGACACTCAAGGGTAAGCACCCAGATGCTTTCAAACAGTGCTCTCTACTGGTCCTCGCTCACATCTGTGCACCTTCACAAACTCCCGGAAGTCTTGGGTGAGGCCAGCAAATGGCACGTTCCAGACTCATTCTGATTTTGACTTCCACTGGGGCGGGGGAGAGAGAAAAAGCCTGCATTCACATTCTACTGACAATATTATAAATACAAGCATGATTCATCAATCAGGAGCCAGGCTTAACCCCACAGTGTGTTGGATATTGGCTAAAAGAGATTGAAGGCTTCTGAGGGAGTTGTCAACCCAGTGTCATTGGGATATTAGGGACAGCAGCTTTGTAGAGCTGCCTGCTGGTCCCAGCGGTACCTTTGCGGAGAGAATATTAGGCTAACCCCATCCCATTTCCTGGCATCTGTGACAAAGGTTCATTTTGTTTGTCTGCTCTGTGTGTCTACATGTTATTCCTCTCTTAAGAGTAGGCAAAAGTGGCAACAGAAAACTTAGCACTATTTCCAGTGACAGTGAACTTGAATCTGGCTCACTCTCTGGTTAGGTTTTAGGCGGCAAGTGGCTGCTGCAAGGCCACACCCATCGTGTA